AGCCTTTTCCGGTATTTGGCTTTGAATGTACCCGGTAAGAACCTGTGAAAAAGTAAATAAATGCTGCACTCTTCTAAACCAAACCACTTCTAAACAAAATAACGTGAAATGACACCCCAGTCGGGCGGCACATACCCGTATTGCACTTCTATGCAAGTAGCCCCCCTGGATTTGTGCCAGTGATGGGTTTGTAGACAGGCTAGATTTGTACCATTGAAAAGTTGTGATCAGTGTTGTTAAAGTCAATTCCATAGTCCAGATCCATATAATTTCATGGGTTGTAGTGGTTAACAGGGATGGGAGTGGATACTGTACAGACTGGATTCGTATGAGTGATTGTTGTAGTAGGCACTATAGGCTTAATTTTTACTAGTGATTGGGTTGTGGTCAGCCATTGATTGACAATGTATTCTAGTCAATCCAATAATCAGTAGTCAGAGTTATGGGAGGGCGAGGCGTCTCAGTGATGAGCTGTAGTTGATGCCATGGGTTGAAAGTTAGTCCCAGTAATAGGTTGGGGCAAGTCGTCTCCGTGATGAGTTGTAGTTGATGCCACGGGTTGAAGGTTAGTCCCAGTAAGAGGTTGGGGCAAGTCGTCTCAGCAATGGGTTGTAGTGTGTTTTGTGCAGGTGAGGTGTCTCAAAGATGAGTGGGTTGCAAGTTCAACTGTAATGAAACGATGGTGACAATATTTCAATACAATCGCACACAGTGTCAGCAGCATTTGCTAAAGTGCAGTGACTTTGAGTCAGGGTGAGTCATTGAAAACAATCAACCTGGCACTCTCATCAAGAAAGTAATGCAAGTTGTCTCATTTGTGAAATGAACGGGTTGTAACTAGTATCAAGTTACACACTACTACTGAGATAAACATATCCTAGTTCGGCTGCAATGCTAAACATAACCACCATTTCCATGGTGACTTCCCCCAGTACCACATCTCTTGAAATGTATTTGATAGTATAGTACTACAGTTTCACAAATATTCTTATCTATAATAACCATCTTAATTAACTCTGGTTCGGGCAATTTAACTCAGATTATACGAGTTTTCTGTGATGCATTTTGGAGAAAAAAATCGGAAGAAAACTAATAACTGACACTACTCATGCCTGGAAGACGTGGTGTACTATTCACCTAGTGACCTGTACTATTGAACCTTAATATGGCAAGGTCTATTTCCCTTGCCGAGAAAATAAAAATATGCATTGACTCCACCATTCCTCTGTTACAATTACTCTGATCATGAACATAGTGCAAACATGTACTGTTTGTTTTGGATTTGACAGCAAAACTACATCATGTAATCTACTGGTTTCCGGTTCCTTCCAACTTGACAGCTTTTGCAATCGTTTACATAAGTATACTGTACATTGATCAATGATTTTGATTAGAAAACAATTAAAACAGCGCCATCTAGTGGCAACATCTTTAAAGCAAATCAAGTGCACAATGAACAAAGTCGCCAGCAATGTCAATGTATTGGCTAACAAACCTGAATATCCTATAGACAATATCTTATGTCTCAAATGTACAGTATGTGGGATCATGAAGTCTATATAATGAATTAACGTGAACTATACACAGATACATTGTATGAATGGACACAAATAAATACCATATTTTCATATTTAATTCTCAATCTGCCTTTGAATCCAGCCTATGGTATTTTGAAAAAAGAAAACATCTTCTTCTCAAGCAATCCTAACACTCTATAACCTATGTTATACAATGCTACTTTCAGATAAGTTAGTCTCAAACATTTTGTAGACAGCATGTAGTGTATTCCCAAAAAGTATACGAAACTGTCTTTCCATATTGTATATTACAGTTCTCACAGAAATATTGAACGTCTTAAAAAGGCATTTACTCATTTCCTTGTTAAGGAATCAAAAACTTTGAAATACGATTAATTGTTTGATGATGTCTTGTAAAGATCTAAAAAACAAAAATTTTAGCAATTCAAAAATGTATATGCATACAATCAGTAATTGATAGTTGTGCTCAATTTCGACTGTTCATGTTTTTTTCATGATTATTACTTTGGGTCATACTGCTATATGTAAACAAGGATCTTTAGAGATACACTTGGTCATAAAAAACACCCATAAAATGGTGCTAACTATGATAGGCTGATAGTGTAGAAATCCTTGCAATAGCTTCTTAGGGTTCTCATCGGCTGGCTGTAGTGTTTACACAGGGTTTGGTTTAGGCAGGTTTTAATGTAAAGCAATATACAAAGCTTTTACATTCACGTCCAGTAAACATACCAGTATATGGCTATTGTACATCATAATATTTTGTTAGTCATGATATGTATATCATCTATATTCAGCACTTGAGTAGAATGTTGTTAAAGTATTTTGTCTGTGAAAAATATCATCAAAGTTAACTAACACATTCTTTTTCATCAATAAGAATCACACATACAAGTCATCAACAAATACTATTTTTTGCTTTTAAATTAGCAGTGAATAAACTGATTACCATTGTACATTTGATGTCAAATTTAAAAAAAAAAAATCCAGCGCTATAAAAACAAGCAGCCTGTCGGCTGAGATAGCTCCGCTGTTAGCAATGCACATGGCAATTAAAGAACAGAAGATATCATTAGAAAATGAACAAATCTGAGAGAGGTCCATATGTAGTACCTATATGTATAATATATCAAAGCAATTGAACTTGAGGTTTT